AGTTAGGGGAGAACATGTCAGTCAAAACTGACCAAAAAGTGATAAAATATAAATACTGTATCCATTCCTTTGAACAAAGTCACCAGAGTATGTATACACAAATTATATATGGGCTTTGCAGCAGGTAGATAGTAAAAGTGATATAGAGTGCCTTTCTGCTTCCAGGAAGCAATATAAATCATGCAGAGTCAAAACAGCAGGGCTTCCAGGACATTTGGTCCTGTTTTCATAAAATTAAAAATGATACTGTTTTTATTTTCCTTTAACGTTCCCACCAGTGGTGGTTACAACTGGTATGCCCCGGTAGGGGTGTACCGGTGCCTGATGGGAGCACCAGGTACCGTTCTGGTACGGTGCTCTGGAGGGCCCACCTGCCTGCCCTCCTTACCTGTATTTGAGCCAATTGGGGCTTTTGCGCACATGCATGGAGCGTACAGCGCCTGCGTGATGCTCCAGCGAGCAGCTGGAGCATCGCAGGTGGTAAGCATGCATGCGCGCGCTGCGTGTGTGCACGTAGTGGACACCGGGCCTGGTTGCGGTGTACTGGTTGCAATGGGATCTGGAACCCACCACTGGTTCCCACCTTCTCTATTTGGCAGAGCAATTGAACCAGGTACTCAAAAGGATTGAAATAATCCATCACATTTAGCCTCCACCTTCTTCTTTCACTTCACAGTCTTCTATTTTCTAGTACTTTAACTTCCTGGTCATACAAAATTTTCAATTCCGCCATGACCACTACTGTTAATTTGACAGACAGGATGAATACAAACAAAATTTATTCATCCTGTATTGTCACCTATCTTTTGTGGATTGCCTCATTTCCTGGAAAGGATGTGATCCTGAAGAAAAATTATGGGAAAAGTGACAAGATTATCCATGCTCCCAAGTTGATTACCAAGTTCCATGCTTCCAAGGCGACACTTTTATAAACCACTCCCCACCCAAAACTGGACCCAACTAGGAAGTTTACTTTCCCCAGAAGTTTAAGTCAATGAACCTTCCAGCTGAGGAACCAAGCCCCAGTACCAACAAATGAATATATTGATGGAATTTAAGCCAAATTATCTGGAAAGTACTCAAGCTGGAAATAGTAACAATTCACCTTTGACTTGTGACACTTCATAGCTCATTTTCTACTTTTGTCAAATGTTTTCTTTGAGTGATTTTTTAAAAAAATTGTACATTTTGCTTTTGTTTCGTATTTTTCAGTGCTCTGTGACCTGTGGTAAAGGCTACAAGCAAAGGCTGGTTTCCTGCAGTGAGATTTATACAGGGAAAGACCACTATGAGTACGGTTATCAGAACACTGTCCACTGTCCAGGCACACCACCACTAAATGTGCAGTCATGCTACCTAGGCGAGTGCCCTGTTTTGGCATCGTGGAGAGTTGGAAATTGGGGAAGTGTATGTTTCTAAATTTTTCTTTTGTTATTATTCATGGTTTATTTTACTATGTAGCCCAACTAACCTTAAAAGAAACAAGATGTCCTCTTTCCTGTTTCATGGATTACTGTGTGGTGTTACTTCAGGAATTAATTGATCTTTATATTTTGTCTGTTCCATGGTTGTACAAACTCATGCACAAGAGCCATGTGCTGCATGCCAAAGACTCCTCCTATTTATTGATTTATTCCTATTGATTTATTGATTTATATGAACGTCCTCAACATCCTTGAATTTGGCTAAAAAGACATCAGAACATAGCATAAAAGCTTTTAGAAAGGGTTATTTAAATATATGTAAGAGAAAAATATAATTAAACATACAAAAATAGTACAGTGTGACAAGGGCTTCTAGTAAACAATGTGAAATTAAAGTAATTTTATGTATCAGGCTAAGCAGACATCCATGATGTAATGGAAACCCAGATTTTTGAAGTCTTACAAAAAGCTAACAGGGTTAGTTAATCCAATTGTCTTAAAGGGGGGGGGGGCATTTTTCCATAGGTGCCATAATAGGAAAAAATATCTCCTGGGTCCTGCTAGAGGCAGAAGGACCCAGAGCATGTCTAACCTGCCACATTATGCAGAAATACTTAAGATACAGATGTTCTGACCTAGGCTTCCCAAGAGCATGAAGCAAACTCCTGGTCCCGATAAAAAACCCTTTTATAAATTTACTGTGCATTTTGCTCATTCACATCCGGCAAAGTCTTTCAAGGGAGGATTTACAGTCACAGACCTTATCTGGCATAGAGAGCTGCCCGGCCAATCTCTGCAAAACTTGGCAAGGAGTCTCAGAGACTCTTGAGCCCCTTGAACTAATTGTCTCCTGCAAACTCCACTCCCCCTTCGCTCCACTTTTATTCCCTATGCAAGGGGCCATTCACCATCCACCTGTGGCCTTACTCCCAAGCCAACCCCTGTTCTTTAGCTGTTCCCTTCATCTGGCAACGCTCTGCATGTGCACTCTGGGAACAGACTCCAGCTGTTCATCTGCCTCACTGATGTCTGACTCTGAAGACAGCTGCTAACGGGCATACGGCTCTGGCCCCTCTCTGCCTCCAACACAAAGCCCTCATCAGAGACTTCCCCAGACTCCAGGACTGGCCCATGTTCCTC